ATATATATATATATATATTTCCCTCTGTTTGGAGCAGAGAGCTGCCATCCAGGGCACCCGGGGGATCAGATAGTGGGGGTTAAGGGCCTTGCTCAAGGGCTCAGAGTGGTGCAGGGTGGAGGCAGGTGTGGGTTCTTCACCAATCCCACCCACATGTTGATGGTGTTGGTACCAGAAGTTGAACCAGAAATCTTCCGACCATATGCCCACCTCTGCACCACCACTCCCACAGCTGTTATCGTATCTGTTCAGAGCAAATCTCGGTTTAACCAAACTGAGGCCATTCATATGTATCTGCAACTGGTAAGATATTGTTTATAAGTTTTTCATAGAACCTCACTTTTACAGACACAAACTTTTGTTTTAGGGAATCTGCAAGCAAAAGAGAAAAAACAAATGAAGTCTCTTGTAATCACTACACAACTGGTCATTTAATTGGTTTTAATCTCATAAGAACAACACTGTATTGGTATGAAAAATAAAAACATTTTTAATTTTAGTAACTTGTGTGACAGACATGATTAGAAGTGTTTGTACACTTCTGAGTGTCCTGCTCAGCCGTAATAAATGTTAGTTCTTTCAACAAACTGAACCCAAACAGCGTACAACCTGTTGGGCTGAGGTTCACTGTATATTTACAGAGTTAAACAAAAGTAAAGCGACAGAGAAATGCTGACTGGAAGGCTATATATCATTATCTACCCATGGTTTTCTTCTCCAGCAGATAAAGTAAAACAAGTCCTCTTTTCTTTTGTTGAAGGAAAAGCGATCTGGAAGTGCAGAACTAATTTGACCCTCAGCTGAGAGATGCTTCTCATACTCTCTCCATCTCTGTGACAGGGAGCCAGGTGCTGGATGAAATGAAGAAAATGAGCTCGGCGGAAAGACCCATTAGATGGAGGCAGCGGGGGCTCAATTGAACAAATAGAAACACTGTTGTCTTGGTTTTTGTTTTGTTTTTTGTTTTATGCCCAGCTGAAAGGACTCCTATTAGAGAATAAAGATGAGCGTGCACGCGAACATATGCACACACATGCAAGCATTAGGAGGAGATCCAGGAATGACTCTGGCTCACTCGCAAAAATCACTCAATTAGTGGAGCTTCTGCTTAAAATGATGACGTTATCTTGATGGTTTTGCACCAGATTGTTCTACTTTTAGTTTCTGCCAACACATTAACACTACCTTGTTCTGTATCTGTTGGAAACAGCTTTGTTTCACCTGTAAATGGTGGACTGAAACAATTCCATCCTTGCAGGTTCGTAGTTTTTATCCTGACCTTCTTTCAGTCTATATTTCCAGCACCATTGCAGAACTAAACCGAGCTATGAGCCATCCCTCCTCCTCCTTCATCTGTTTACTTTCTGTCTCTGTCCTGCTCACCTTCTGCTGCTGAAATCCTCCGCGCAAACTCCCCCATCCTCCCCTAAGTCCTGCAAATTTATTAATATGATTTACATAAAGTTAAACTTCTCCCTGGCTAGGCAAAAGGGGCCCGCTCTAAAAAAAGCTGTGGCGGTGACAGAGCCAATGTGTTATGCGTGTCGCGGGCCCAGAGGAGAAGGGAACGTCGAGTAGGATCCCCACTGGAGGGGGCTCTGGCCTGAAAATGACACGGAGTGAGAAAGGAGCCTCCATACTTTCAGAATCAGTCATCTTATCTGCAGGGGGAAGAGGACGAAGGACAAAGCGCACATCGGCCCTCCTCGAGGCGGATACTCACCATGGGAAATCCATGCACAAGCTTTTCACACACACACCTCATGTATAATATTTCATGTGTGAGTCTTAAATATGGCTTCAGAAGAGGATTATGCAGGGGATGATGCAGGCCAATTATACATTCAGGGCCCCACTGGGGTGCCCAACATGGAGGGGGCACTTTTCCCCTTTCGTTTTATGCTCTGAAATGTCTGCCGCTCATTTAACGTTCCACATGTCATGACAGCACACTAGCTTTAACTATAGCGTACCATTTCAAGTTTAAATTGAAAACACAATACATATCAAGGTTCAAGTTCTTTATTGTCATTCTCATCACGTGGTGCATGAGGTGGAACAAAATTGTGTACACAAGATGCCAGTTATACCCCAAAAATAGCTAAAATATAAAGTATAAAAAATAAACAGTATACGATGATCTAAGATATATGCTAAACAATAATAATATAATAAACTATAATTTTTGCTGTATAAGTCAC